GCGGGCCTCTCACTGTTGTGGCCTCTCCCGTTGCGGAGCACAGGCTCCAGACGCGCAGGCTCAGCGGCCATGGCTCACGGGCCCAGCCGCTCCGTGGCATGTGGGATCCTCCCGGACCGGGCCACGAACCCGTGTCCCCTGCATTGGCAGGCGGACTCTCAACCACTGCGCCACCAGGGAAGCTCCCCGCCCCCCATTTCTGACACTGGCATCTCAGAGCCTGCTTCCTCCCTACCACACCCCACTCCCAGATTGTTGTCAGCTCTGAGCTGGTTTCTAGTGTCACATTCACCCTAGTGGGGCTTTGGCGCGGGGCCGGAGACGGTCCCCTGAAGTTAGAGCCCCCTACCAGGTGGGCTGCTCCTTGGAAGAGCCCATCTTCCCAGCTTGGTCCCTCTGCTGGCCCCTCCCTGCTGCCTCCATGGCCTCTTCAGGGTCATTCTGATCCACCCCTCACCCAAGGTGAAGTGGGCACTGAGGCTGGGGGGCAGAGGGCGGGGCTGTTGTGCTCAGGATGCCAAGGCTGCAGTCACAAGGGAGCATGGGACTCCTGGCCAGGGCAGCCAGGCCCAAGCCAGGGATGGAGGGCCCTGGGTTCGGCACACCTCTCTGGATCTGGGAGGCTCAGGTGGGTCATGTTTGGGCTGGGTGGCTTTGCAGGTGGAACTTCCACTAGAAGGCTGGGTAGTAAGAATGCAGTGGGCCTGGAAACTACGAGGAACCAGTCTGAGTCCATGCTCTGTTCCTGCTTGCTGTGTGGTGCTGGATAAATCTCTCCTTTCTCAGGGCTCCATGGTAAAATGGATTGTTGGGCTCCACCTGTGACTCTTGGAAAAAGCTTGTATTGTAAAACTTGAGTGCGGGATGAGTGTAGTTTGGACCAGTAATTTCACTGGCCTGGTAGGATTTTACAATTTGAAAGTGAAAAAAATGACTTTGGAATTCAAATTACAAGATGTCTGCCTGGAGGAGGCATCCCAATGTAATACATTTCCACAAATACTCCCCAGCCAGGGATGGAAGGGCATACCTCCTTGGGAAGACAGAATATTGAGTGGGGAAGGTGAGAAATTTTTATATTTATTCTAAGGGTGTGTGAGTTTTTAAAAAATGGTTGAGGAACACCAGACTACCTATATGATTTCTAAGGAGGCCTCCAGCCCTTACATGCTGCAAACATTTATTGAGCATCTACTATGTGCGAGGCTTGGGAGTTCAGAGATGCAAGAGTCTTTGAGGTTAGTGGACTGGCCAGACCTGGAAAGGCCTTGGAGTCCAGGTGTAGGAAAGGGAGTTTGTCTTCCATTGACAGGAAAAAAAGGTAGGGGTGGATTTTTAGGCACCCCTAAGAAAGCTAGGCTCAGAGCTGCCCCCCAAAGATTATAGAAACCTCCAGACTGAGATTGCCCAAGATTTATCCCCTTGCCATAGTGACATGGAAAATGAAGCTTGGGAGAGGAGCCCAGGCCAGGGGAACCAAGTCTGACCTGCAGTGCCCTAGCAAGGATGCCACATAATATGGACAGATTTGGGGGACTCAAAAGCAGGTGGGGCTTTTCAGGACCTCCCGGCTCCTCAGGCAGCACCTCCAGGAGACGCCGGGGAGGGAGTGGCGGAGCCCCAACCGCCCCCCAGGGAGCACCCCCAGCGGTCTCCGCGTCGGGGCGTGGGGATGGCAGGAGGGGTCCGGCTCACCCCGTATCCCCTGCGCCTCGCTCCTCCCCGTGCCCGGGCCCTGGGCAGGTGGGGACAGGCTGCCAGGTGGTGACCGCAGGGTGCCCCCTCCCACAGACGACGCTCCCCCGGGGGACACGAAGCTCTCTCCACCATCCAGGGCCCTGCGAGGCGCCCGCCAAGCTCCGGCCACGCTAACTGCACCGCGGCCTCCGCGCGGCCTGGGCAACACCGCCCTCGTGTCACTCCCGAGTCGCCAACGAGGCCCCCGAGACCCAGAGCGGGTGAGGGAGGCTCTGGCGGCGCGAGGGCCAGGCCGCTGGGGTGGCTCACCGTCGAACTCGGGGAAGTAATCCACCAGGTGCGAGTGGAGGATCTTGTCCTCCAGCAGGTCCTTCTTGTTGAGGAAGAGGATGACGGACGAGTTCTGGAACCAGGGGTAGGTGACGATGGTCCGGAACAGCGCCTTGCTCTCCTCCATGCGGTTCTGAGGGGCGGGCGGCAGGTTGGCGGCAGGCCCCCCGAAAGGGCCTGTGGGCACCCCCTCCCTGGGCCCGGCGAGGGCCTCACCTCGTTGTCCGACTCCACCAGCACCTGGTCGTACTCGCTGAGGGCCACGAGGAACATGATGGACGTCACGTTCTCAAAGCAGTGGATCCACTTCCTCCGCTCGGACCTCTGGCCCCCCACGTCCACCATCCTGCAGGGCGGGGTGCGCAGGCTCAGCGCGGGGCTGCAGATGACAATGCCCACCCCCAGCACAGCCGCCTCTGCCAGAGCCACAAGCGACCCCTGAGGCATCAGACCAACGAGAGTCCCCGATGACATCAGAGCCACAAGGGCCCCCTCAGTCACCTGTCAGAGCCAGCAAAGCCGCAATACCATTAAGCCAGGAGAACACAGCACAAGCAGGGGAGGGGGGACCCCCGAGACAGCCAGGTGCCTGCTTGCCGAGGGAGGGGCCCTGGCCTACGGGGGGCGCTGTGGAGCGTGTGAGGCACACACCCCAGGGGGGCTGAGCCGGACGACCTCGGACGTCCCACGTCTGGAAACCCGTCTCCCCTTGTTGGACACCACACGGCATCACCTATGAAATGCTGGAACCCACCCCAGCCACAGCGAGAGCAGGCTGCTTGTCCAGCGGGAGATGTAGGCACACAGATGCTGACACCAGGCGGGGCGGGGACACGCTAGGGACGGCGCCCTGACCATCACGACTGGTGACAGGTCCCTGCTTTCTACTTGTGAGTTTCTTAAGTTTTCTATGACAAGGAAGCCCTCTACTTTTTTTTTTTTCGGTACGCGGGCCTCTCACTGTTGTGGCCTCTCCCGTTGCGGAGCACAGGCTCCGGACGCGCAGGCTCAGCGGCCACGGCTCACGGGCCCAGCCGCTCCGCGGCATGTGGGATCTTCCCGGACCGGGGCACGAACCCGTGTCCCCTGCATCGGCAGGCGGACTCTCAACCACTGCGCCACCAGGGAAGCCCTAAAGCCCTCTACTTTTGAAGACGACGGCGAGAAAGAACAGCAGCCCGAGAAGGGTCCCCAGGCCAGGCCCATCCACAGCTGCTGGACAGTAGGGCAGCAGAGGCCAATTGGCCTGGTGGGGGTTTCTCAGAGGAGGTTCTAGCAAGCACAGGCAGATGGCGGATGTGCCAGGGTGACCGAGGGGATGGGAGGGGGGTGAGTGGACACCAGGCCCACACGGGCCGCCGCTGCCAGTCCGGGGAGCGCCATCGGGCCGACGGCGTCAGGGGCCACAGCCTTTCTGGAGCCGAGTCTCCCCAGTACAGCCAGGCGGGAACCTGGGCCTCCAGGGTCGGGGCAGCGGGGGGGGGGGGGGGGGGGGGTCAGGTCTCTGCAGGAGGTCCCGTGTGGGACCAGGCTCGGGCCTCACACGTCAGGCCAATCGCACTGTCACTGGATGCTGTGTGAGCTCCGATCAAGATGGGGGCACAAGCTCCATGCCCGGGCCCCCGGCCTTCCCTCTGTAAGCCCTCGACTAGACAAGGCGGGAGGTGGGCAAGGGGTGGGCTGGCCAAGGGACAGTGGTGGCAGAGGTGCAGGGCCACTCTGCAGTTAGGACAGCAGCAGAGCGCACACACAGGCTTGGGGGAGGGGTGGGAAAGGAGGGGGAGAGGCATTCTAGACAGAGGGCACAGTAGCTGTGGAGGCCAAGGTGAGGCCATGTGAGGGGACCCTGGGACGTGGGGTCGGGAGGAAGGCCAGTGATAGCCCCGGCCTGTGGCCCACAGGCCTCTGAGGTCCCGGACCCCATCGAGAATCTGACCAAAAAAGGAAACCAAAATGCTGAACTCTCACCAGAAAATGTACCATCAGGCATGTGCAGTGTGATGCCTACAACTCCTGAGGGTCCAAGGGCACCCCGGGGGCTCTGACAGGTGAGAAAGGATGGGGGGCCAGCTGGGGGCACCCAGACTCTCCCCCTCTCCCAGAAGCTTCTGCCTGAGAAGTGCGGGTCCCTGGGGGCAGAGGTGGGTCTCGGGTCTTGGGCCAGAGGGCACCTCAAGGCAAACCCAACAGACTCCCTGAATGCCCCCGGGGCTGGCGCTTCAAGGCAACAGGGCAGGACCTCCACCCGCAGCGCTGTCTCTGGGGCCCCTGGGGTGGGCTCGCCCAGCAGAAGGGACCCCATGCAGTGGCGGGGAGGGAAGGCTCGCAGCCAGAGCAGGAACCCCACCCCGGAGCCTGGGCCTCAGAGCCCTGGGCAATCCGTGTCCCCCAAAGTCAGTCCCCCTGGAACCTGGGGACACAGCCTGATCTGGAAGCAGGGTCCCTGCAGATGGCACTAGTTCAGACAGGGTCACTCCGGAGCAGGAGCCCTGGATCCAGTGATCGGTGGTGTCACCGTAAGAAGGAAACATGGGCACAGACCCAGGGAGGGGCCACGTGATGATGGACGCAGAGATGGAGTGAGGCTTTTTCAAGCCAAGGGACGCCGCGGGCTGCCAGCACCCCCAGAGCTGGGAGGGACGGGACAGCTTCCCCTCACGCCCTCAGGAGGACCCAGCCCTGCCGATACCTTGACCTCAGAGTTAGGGGAGGATACATTTCTGTGATTTTATGCTGCCCATCTGTGGTCATTTGTTACAGCTGCCCCGGGAGACACACTTGGCCTTGCCACCTGGCAGCTCTGGACAAGCTGTGACCTCGCAGGGTGGCGGGGCCCATCCTTGGGGATGGCCCTGAGTTCACTCTGGACGCATGGCCTTTGGAACTGGGCCGCAGAGGGGTCTGGAGCCACCTTCCCCTGGGGCCCTCAGGCTCCTCCACTGCCCGCCTGGAGCACCCCTGCTCTGGCCTGGACTCCAGACCACCCGCCTGCCCGCCGGCACGCACGCGCTGGCACCCTCCCCCCTTCTGGGGCCCACGCAGAGCCCGCACCAGGAGGCCGTTGCCCCCGGGCCGCCTCCATTCAGCCCTGCCAGCGCCACCAGGGCCTGGCTCACTCGGAAACCTGGTGACAGCCACGGACAAGGACCCTCTCTCGCTGCCCCACACCGGGGACTTGGGGCCGGGGCCGGGGGCACAGGTACCTGAAGATGATGTTCTCCAGGTCGAAGGGGTACTCGATGATGCCAGTGGTGGGCACGCGCACTCGCAGCACGTCCTGCTGGGTGGGCAGGTAGCCCGAGGTGGCGATGCGGTCCACGTCAGTCAGGTAGCTGCAACACAGCAGGCAGGGCGGCTCAGGCCAGCCCACGAGGGGCCTCCCGGCCATCCCGGTCTCCTGAGCACTGGGAGGGGCCCAAGCAGCCCGAGTACTCGGGAGGAGAACGCGCAGGGGCGAAACGCGGCCGCAGGGAGCGCCTGGGACGGACCCCGCCCCGGCTCTGAGGGACGGCTGTCCGGGGATGGGGATGGCGCCGGGCGTCCCAAGAGAGGCTGTGCGCTGGAGGGGTGGCTTTTCACAAGCAAGCTTTCACTTTGGAATAGTTTGAGAGACACAGAAAAGGGGCAGAGAGACAATGGAAAGTCCCTGCAGACACCCGCCTCCCTCTAGGGAAACCGACCC